GTCTGTTCATAACCATCCTGAAAACTGTGTTGCGTCTTAGCTGCACTGGGCCTGATGGTGGAACATTCTTCTCCTGGACCCTAAACTTGGCCTTGGCGTCTCATGTTCTTTTCTTTGTTGGTTTGCTCATCTAAACACCTCCATGATTAGAAATCTCTTCCTCCTCATGCTCTGTGTTGAAAGATGTCCTCACCACATTCTTAGTTAGAAAATTAGAAACCCAGCCTTTGTTCCTTCTCTTTCGAATCTCACTCACATTCCACTAATCTTAATCGCTAAAAACTTTTCAGTTCTAGCCCCTTCCATTTGCTCACTTCCCAGTATCCTACCTCATCAATGTGTTCTCCTCACCTTTGCAGCTTAGTGAGTCCACTGCCCAGGCTGACTCAATTTCCACACATTCCAGTCACAAGGCTAAATGGGTCAGGGTACCTGCTGTGTGTCCAACTTAGCTTTTGATGCTGTGAGAAACGCCCTGACTGAAAACAAGCTGAGGTGGGAAGGGTTTGTTTCACCTCTCAGGTTATAGTCTCTCATCATGGGGAGGCAGGGCAGGAACGGAAGGCAGGAACTGAACAGAGGCCATGGCAGAACACTGCTTACTGGCTTGTTCCTCATGGCTTGTGCAGTCAGTTTTCCCATATAGCCCACACCACCTGGCCCTGGGTAGCAGGTGAGCTCAGGGCTATCTGCTCCAGGAGTGTTCTTCGCACGGTGAGCTGTGCCCTCCAGGATCACTCCCTCATCAATGTCTTGTCCCTCAGGCCTGTATGCAGGCCAGTCCAACAGGGCCTTTTCTCAACTGATGTTACTTACTTCTTCACGAATGTTTCAAGCCTGTGTCAAATTGTCTGAGAACGAACCATGACACTGTTTTAAGCATTCAGACCTGAGTTCTATCCCCCATGTGCTGATATAAAAGGCTGAAAACAGCAGCATGTAACATCGAGGGGGGAAGAGATAGGCAGATGCTGAAAGTTTCCTGGCCAGCCAGACTGGAAGAAACTGTGAGTTTCTGTATCACAGAGAAACAGTGTCAAGGGAACACGGCTGATGGTGACAGATAAAGATGATTGACACATTCCGCATACACACACACGGACTTGGACAATCATACACTTTTACATGCATGCCTGTCTCTCTCTCTTTCACACACACACATGCAATCTACATAGTCTGAAGGTACTTTGTGCCATACATCAAATGCCCCTGTATTCTGAGTGTGACCCATGAAGTGAGATGAGGAATCTTTCACCTGAGCCATCCTATCCGCATGAAAAGTTCTAGATTTTGCAACATTTCAGTCTTTGCATTTTCGGCTTGGAGCTGTTCAACTGGTGCTTTCCTCAGGCCCTGCCCGTGCTCGCTGTCTGTTCCCTGCTGCACCAAAGAGTCTGCAAGGCTCCTTCACTGCTAGGTTCCACTATCCTTTTTTTCCTTCACAGTTGTCTGTGCACTCTTGAGGACAGGGGCAGCGCATAAAACTCAGCTTTATGTTTTCGATGTGAATTCCCATCCAGAAAGATAACTGGGCCTCAGGGAATGGCTTTTATATCAGTCCTTATCTAGGTCACTTCGTGTACATGTGAGTTGAGGTCCCCAGCCAAAGAAGGGGTGACTTGTCCCCCTGTCTCCCTTCAGATGAACTTGCCAGCAATATCATGAGTACTAAGATACACTATCTTCATTATGAGTTATGTTTCTTCAATAATAGTAATTAGGGTGATTTTTATGCTGTTGTATAACCAAAAAAAGCTCCTGGGAAAGCACGATATAGGAGATTTGTCATTTAAGAGACAGAAGCCAATTATCCCCTCAGTGTAGCTGGTGAACGCGGATTTGCAGAGGGGGTCACAGCAAAGCAGCAGTTTGCTGGCAGAGATAAGCACAGCCTCCCTCCTGTTTTGTTTGTCATAATGAACTGGTCAATAAACATCGCAAATTGTTTATCTATATAAATCTTGACAGATTACTCTTTATGAAATCCATTTAGCAACTGAGGTTTTCCCATAAGGATGAAAAATGAAGATTTTAAACAGATTGCAGGAGCAGCTCGGGCTGTGCCAGGGGAGTCTGTGCAATAAAGGTTTCTTTATATTAATATTACAAAAACCATTTATCCTGGCAAAATCAATATCACAATTCATCTTAGTTTGTTGCTTCTTTTCGAAGCCTAAGATGTCTTCTCCTTTATTGTGTCTAATTTTGTTTTAATAAATGTGAATTATATTTCATTTGGTTGGTACTCCAAGGAGGGACATCAGAAAAACTGCTCTCAAACTAGTGGCTGATTTGCTAAAGAGTCTTCAGAATGTTTGAAATTGTATTTTAGTGGCTGAGAAATTTACAGGAATCATTTCATTTAAGCCTTAATTACCCCCTGCCTCCCTTGGACTGGTGGCAAACTGCAATAGTCTAGGAAATCCACTCTGATGAACTTCACTTAAAGAAAATTCTCTCTAACTGACACTAAGCAATTATAACAAGTTGGGCATGTTTGATAGAACAGTGGCTGGGAGAAGAGACAATAAAAGCAGGAATAGATGCACTTAATTACTCTAAACATTGCTTGCTTTCCTGAGAAGTGATTTATTTATTCCATTTGGATTTGGAACTTAATATCCCGCAGATATTGACATAGCTGGGTCTGAGCTGTGTGGATAGCAGGAGGCTGAAAGGAAATGGAGCTTCATCAGGGGATGGAATTATGTTACATGCTGCAAACCGTTCCTCTAAGTGCACTGTATGTAAAGTAAGTGTGATTGTGTCTTGACTGAATGGCAATAAAAGCTGAGACACTCAAGAGCTACTTACTCATGAGGGGTACGCATGTATAGAAAGTGATATATGTACCGAAGAGGGCGGGCTGCCTCCTACTGCTCAGGTCTACTAGAATTACACTAAAGCCTACACACAGGATTCTCTAGGTGTAGGCACATAATGAATCAAGAACAAATCGGGCATTTCATGGCTTCTGTGATTCCATTTTAATTCCAATGCATAATTTTCCTCATCTCTAATACTTTGTCTGAAAAAAGCCCCTATTGAGGATGAAATTCCAGTGTAACATGTCCAGATAAAGGCCATCAGTGCTGTGTGTAGGTAGGAAGTTCTTTTATCAGGACTATAAAAAGAGCAACTACGGCACTGTGCCTTTCAGGAGAAACCATACTTTATTTATTCCCAGTGGCAGATTCGTCCATCAAACAAATTTTCAGCTTATTTTGCAGCTTTAGCTTTTATCGGCCTTTTTAAGGTGTTGAATGATTACCCGAGAGATCACGCCATAAAATTTGCAGTAGGGTGAAGTCACCACGTCCACCGGTTTCCCTATAGAATAAACAGGGAAAACTATTTAGTGGTGCTTTCTACGCACCACATGGGAAGTTCCCGCTTAAATGGTCTTCGTGGGCTGTTTTTACATCTCCAACGTTTATAGTGCCCAGACTGCTTATCGTAATGAAATGCCACCGGGGACCATGTGTGAGGAGAAAGGTTTCCTCTCTGTCACTGCTGAGGGTTGGTACTGCTAACATTACGGGGGAGTTTAGGGCTAAGAGCTTGTTCACTGCAGCGAACGTGCCTCCTTCTCCTATAGCATCAGTCTTTTCGCATAGATCAGGGTAACTGTCTTTTCTCCAGTCTTCTCTGGGTAAATGATAATTAATGCTAATTGTCCCATTGACAGAACCTGGAATTTCCGGGGGGCGGGTGCGTCTGTGAGGACTGTGCTGGTGAGTTAATTGAGATGGGAAGACTTGCCCCCTGTGGGTGGCACCATTCTCTCCAGGGGACCCGGGACTTGTAGGTAGCAGCGGGCAGCAGCTTCCCGGGTGTCGATGTGGCGTGACCACCTGCTTTAAGCTCTTACCCCTTGACTTCCCAGCCATGACAGACTGTCCTCTGCAACTGGGGGTCATATTCAACCCTTTCTCTTCCAAGTTGTTTGTCAGAATATTTTATCACAAAACAAACAAAAAGTGACACTAATACAGTTTACAACATATAACTAGAACCCATATTAAGCACCAACAATCATTAGAATCTATCTAAAGATGTCAGAAAAAAATATAGTCTTTATAGAAAGAACTACGCGTAGAATTTGAAGAATTTTAGAGCCGTGACTTATTCTTACTTTCTGTGTTGTAACTGGATATATAAATAAAAGACAATCTTGTGAGTACCTGATTTAAGCATTTAGCTGACAGCAAAACTTCTATTATAAGAAAATGCAATTTTCCTTCTATTACATAGTATCCAGGCTAATCGGGACAATTCTCCATGGTGTGTAAAAGCTCTCTGGGGCTGCTGAGACAGGTCTTCTGCAGCTCAGGCTGCTATCAAAGAACTCACTATGTAACGGGGAACACCTGGTCCTCCTCCCCCCAACTCACATGTTCTGAAATTGCAGGAGTGCACCACCATTCAGGCTAAATTAGAATTTGTGTGTTTGTGCGTGCGCATGTGTGTGTGCAGGTGTCAGGGGTAGGGGTTTGGGGGTGTAGAAGCCAAAGGCTGTTGTTGGACAGTTTCCCCAGTTACTGTCTGCCTTACTTTCTGAGATCAGGTCTCACTTTGACTCTTGAGTTTCCTGACTCTTTAGACTCCTGGGTGACAAACCCCAGGACCTTTCTGTCTCCACAGCCGAACTCTGAGCTAACAGACACTTGCCAGCCAGTCTACTTTTCACACGGGAACTGGGGATCCATGCTCAGGTTCCCAAGCTTGCTTAGCGAGTGCTTTACCAATTGAGCCATCTCCTTAGGTCTCTTTGTGAGGCCCATTAATACATGAAAAAAAGGAATCTTTGCATGGATTTGAGCAACATTTGATAAAGATCTTTTCTGTCTTGTTTATCTTCTGCCTGTTCAGTTCAAGCCTCCTTTGCATTATGTCGGCAAGAGTGAGCCGTATTCAACCACAATGTTATTGATAGGTATGACATATGCGATGAATTATTAATTAAAGTACTCTTCTCTTGATGCTTTGTCTGTTCTCAGATGCCAGCCTTGTCTTTGTCATCCAGCAGGAGCCTTGAATGGAACTTGTGATGTGGTCACAGGCCAGTGTTTCTGCAAACAGTTTGTCACTGGCTCCAAGTGTGACACTTGTGTTCCTGGTTCAAGCCACTTGGATGTCAACAATCTATTAGGCTGCAGCAAAAGTAAGTCCATTCTGGCCTATTGCTGGAATTTGAATCATAAGGACTTCAGGAGAAGGTCTCCATGCTTCCCTCCATCTAGAACTCATTAAAAGGACTCAGGAGCAGCTTAGAGAATTAGTCGAAGGCAAATGTGTTATTCACACTACGTGGAATCTGTGGGCTTTTCCTTGCTTAAGTAATTGAAATTCCCGGGACGACTATGCTGGTCGTCAAACACTGACAGTGGTCTGTTGTCATGAAATCACCAGCAATGGAAATGCTGGAAACAAATTTCCCGTTTCCCCAGATGAGATTTTCCCAGAACATCGACATTTACTGTTAAAACTGTGATGTTACTATGTAAACTAAAATGGTTAGTCACCCTAGATCACAAATGTATGCCAATATGATTAACTATAACAAACAGATTTGTTATTTATGACATCTCGTGTTCTTCCGTGCTCAAAGTTTTGCAAACATTATTCTAATGTATTTATTAACATGATAACTTTATAGTTATTTTTTCAGACCATACTGAGTCCTGCAATTGATAGTCCATTCTTGCTGCTTTCCTATATTAGTCATGAGTCTGCATTCCGCACTGATAATTTTAATTATTTTACCCAAATATGACAGTTTAGTGTCTGCTGACTCAGGAGCACGCTACAGTGCCTAAGTTGACCTCTGAAGGCTGCCTGCAGCCCTTCAGATTGTAGCTATGGATGGTGTTTCTGTGTTTACTCTAAGACCGTGTATCCGTACTTTGCTAGAGTTCCTAAAAGATGGTTCCTGGGAACACGTGTTAAGGAGCACTCTGCAGCACACCGTACTGTGCATATTCTCCTCATGGGCTGTCGGTCTGTCAGGAGTCAAAATGTTAGGTCTCTGGCTTCCTGTTCCTTTCCTGGCCAAGTCGCATCTTTACCACCACATAATTTATTCTTTCAAGAGCTAGTCACTTCCCTAGACCAGAGAGACAGAAGAAAATTGCTGATCAAATTGTTGTTTTTATTGCTTCCTAGTGAATCATAGCTCGTTTAAAACTTCTGTGAATGAACTTCAACAAATATGTATATGCAAATACATATACTCATACAGTTTAGTCATTCATGGATCGCTTGTATTTAAGAATGTTAATGTGAAAGTAAAAGAAAGAGAACATTTCACCCGTAAGTGTGTGGAAACGACAGATTTAGGGATGCCAGCAACAGAAGAGATACGAGAGCAACATGCTGAAAACGGCATGTCACTGCAAGAGAAAACAAAACGTGTGTCTCTGTACTGTGTGCACTGATGCTGCAATCTCTGACACTTTTCATCGACATCGTTTGGAGATTTGGTCCCCAACCCTGAATCAAGTCCATTCCCTCAGCTAAGGTTCTAAGCTTTGCAATTATTGTCCCTGGAATCAGGAGTCCAACTGTATAAAGTCAAACCCGTGGCTTCTCCCAGAGCTCTTCCAGCTCAGGAGAAAGAAGTCCCCCCAAACTTTCTACCTTCGTTGTGCTAGGGCTCCCCAAAATACAGTTTTATACAATCCACAAAACTACCTGTCATCTCTGTGTGTATGACTTCTTAGAGTTTAGTTTTTAATATAACCCCATCTACAGAAGAGATTTCCCCCTTTTCCTCCATTACTTGATTCTTCTCTGTCAACAGAATACAGAGCTCAATGTCATGGCATTGTCATGCTTCTACTTTTCTGGCCAAACATGAAAAAAAAACAATCATTTGAATGGAGGTGGCATGTGGAACTCCTGAGCCAGGTTCCCATGAGCACAGAGCATGTTTTCCTTGACTATGAACTTGATGGTAACCACCCCCACAACCTTCTAAGGGAGGCAAAAAAAAGGAGGGAGTGTGGCTCTTCATAAGACTACCCTTCAATGAGAGGGAGGGCCGTCATCAAATATCCCACTTCCACCCAATCACCAGAATAGCTGGATCAGACTCAGGTAGGAACATTGTTTTTTCTTCTACATCATTAGTAAGAATACAGTTCTAGAATCCTGAGGCTTTTTTTCAGTTGAATAAAATTCCCACAATAAATCAGGTTTTTTAAATTCTCACCAGCCATCACTACTATGTTTGAAAAAATATAATTACAAATTATATAATAAGATATTATTATCTTTATGATCCACAGGCTTCCAAAAGTTCTGTCACTAGAATTATATCAGGTTACATTCACACCACATGGCAAGGCTGCGGGTGCCTTTTCATGTTTCCTATTTTTTATTTTGTGTCTTTTGAATTTTGTGTGGTATTAAAATCTTAAATATCTAAATGTCTATACAGGAACAAGAATCTCCAAAGCACGTATGTGCCAGACATGGTGATGCTTGTCTGTAATCCTAGGTGATAAGGCGGGAAGAGTATGTGTTCAAGACTTGGTGCCAAAGCAGTTCTGAGCAGTTTGGGAATTATTACACTTATGGATATTGAAAGTGGAGATTGAGGAGGGTGATATTTACTAAATATTTATAATGATGCACACATGTTCACACCACCACACCACACACCCACACACCCACACCCACACCCACACCCACACCCACGCTTTCTCCCCAAGATGATCATGTTTATCATGTCCTTACTGTAAATAAGGAGATGTTTGGCATCCAGTCCAAATTTGAATACACTCACGGACCTCTCAAAGTTCCTAAGCTGGGACCCGAGCTCCAGGCTCCCCAACAGAAGGACCCTGTTACACTGGTCTGCTCCATTCTTTAAGAAGCAGTCTCTGCATTTTGACCAGTTGTGGCTTTCTGTAATTGTCTACATCCGCTGGAAACAAAAGCTTGGCTGCTGAGGGGCACGAGCTACCTTATACCTACACTGTCTGCAGGTAATAGGGTGAGTATTCCGTGTGCAGTCAGGAATCGCGCTGGGTCAGGAGAGTGGTGGTAGTTATTCTCCTCTAAGAATCATGACCTCGTATCTCTGCAGATCCGAGTTCTTGTCCACTGAGACCCTTTCTACAAGCCTCTCCAATGCCAGACCACCCTCTTCAGGCTGACTGCCAAATTTAAAAAGGCCTGCTTGCAACGTTGCATCTAGAAACTTAGAATTTATGAGAATTCACCCTTGCCAAAATGGAACAGAGCAGATCTGGATATGTGAACTTTCATACAAACTGTAATTCCTGCGTAGCTTTTCCAGTAGTTTTCATGTGTGCCAGACATATGTATCTATGTGAGCATCTCCTGATATCACCAGACACGTGTGACTATGTGAACTATCCTGGATAGCTCTAGACATATGTGCCCACGTGAATAGGCCTTAATAACACTGAGTACCCCCCGGGGCACTGTTTCTAACAGGCTTCCAAGGCTGGCGACACCTTGTCAGTTTCCCCTGTCATGTTTTCATTGTAACTTGTTTGGTCAATCAAGCCCAGGCCTTCCTTTCATCATTCTAGGAAGTGCTCTGCCACTTGGCTACATTCACACACACTTTTGCAATGCATTGCTAAGAGATTTCAGTGTGATCTATCTGATACCACTCAGGGAGGGCCGTTCGCGGTTTTCACCCGATTCCCTTTGTTGCAGTACATTCTAGTCAGGAGTAGTATGGGTCTCCTAGGAAAGGGTTAGCACTAGGGTTCAGGGTAGCCTTGAGAACATCTCACACCCATAGCACACCTTTTGCTCTTACACACCGAGTTACTAAACTTTTTAGAAGAAATGTCCTCTTACTGGGCTCTCCCCATATTACATATATTTTGAATGCAATTAGTCTTTTATGCTGAGACCCTGAAATCTGTAACTATTTTAATGGTTTCAGTTCTTGGCATCTTTTTTTGAAAGTTCTTGGTGACAAGAATTGGTGGTTTTAAAAGTCACTCATACAACTGTATACACCTGTGTGGACCTATGACACCTCCTTCAGTGGGACCATACACTAGATCTCTCTCAAGGCCGGTGGGGCTTGAACTGTTGTTGTTTTTTCAGATTTCTTTCTACCTCTGTCTCTTCTTGTGTGTTCTGAGAAAATAACAAAATTCACACTCACAAATTAAGAAGCTTCCTGCAGAAGACAGGAAGGTTGGCGGTGGCGGAGTAGAGGGTTTCTAGAGTCTGTCTTGTGTTGTGCTGTTGGATGGGTGCTCCTATTTCCAGGGCAAGCAGTCCGCACATGAGCAGTCTTCACAAGTATCAGTCTCGTCACATATGGATTCACATTTTAATTGACAACCTTTAGATTTTTTTTGACGCCCATATCTATTTATGTCAGTAAATAGCAGTCCTTGAAATTATGCCATTCCATGTAAAATAAGACCTTGTATTTAGTTGAATGGAAATCTCCCTCTTCAGCATGAAATAATTGCTTAAATTCAAATTCAAATATTTAATGTTATATCAAATTTAAATGTCAAATTTCAGGGGAATCTTGCCAATTTTTAAATTTGATAGAAAAATAAATGTTATGTATCCTTGGGATTATTTTTATACTAAGGCGCAGAAATGCTTAAACACCCATCGGGTTTCCCCTAACCCTATTTACATCAGCTGCTCTGACCTAGAAGTGTGTTTTATGCTTGCAGATAAAAAGCTTTGTCTTGGTGAATTGGTGATGCATACCCTTTGTTTATTAATGTCTCGGTAAACCACATGTCTTCTTGATAAAGTGACCCTGAAACAGAAGGACCTCTTTGCTGGGTATCTTACTTCGGTTTCCTAGTGTGTTTATCGATTGCTTTTGTTAATAAATGCTCTCTCCATTACAATTTAGCTCCCTCCCAGCAACCTCCACCAAGAGGACAGGTTCAAAGTTCTTCTGCCATCAATCTCTCCTGGAGTCCACCTGATTTTCCCAATGCCCACTTTCTTACTTACAGTCTGCTCAGGAATGGTTCTGAAATCTACACAACTGAAGATCAGCACCCATACTGTAAGTTCTAGGATTTGGTGATGGAAATACGTGGTATTCTAAGAAGGGATATGAATTACACTCTCTGATGTTAAGGATAAATGTCATAGTTTCCTCTGTGAACAAGGAACAGCTCATGCAGAGAGAATTACAACTCTCTGTAGGAATCAAAAAACAGGATGAAAATAAGATGTATAGCATTTGGTAAGATGATAATGGAATTCCTGGAGAGAAAGCAGTGACTCAGCACAGCAGGACTGGTCTGTCACACCTGGACCACTCATGAACTTCAGAGAACTTGAATTGCTTCACAGGCACAGCCTCTTGCACAGAGTACATTGTTAAAATATGTGAAACATCTTTCCTGCATATCTCTTAGCACTGGACTTATCATACTCACCATAGAAATTTTATCTCAAATAAAAAGCTTTAAATGAACACTAAATCCCATGTCCATTCCTATATGGTTTGTAATGTTAAAATGTGGGAAATGATTCTGACGTCCAACAGTCTTGCAGTGCGCTGTCAAATTTACTACAGGCCATGAAAAAGTATCTTTGCAAATCACAGAAGGAAAACTGTGGCATTCTCATTGAAGATATTAGAAGGTTTAAAACATATTAATTATTATATTTTAGTTTACAAATGCTGGAAGTGTGACAAGCAGAGCTACAGTTTTCTCGGGATGTAAACATTACAGAAATTTCTCAAGCATTTCTAGTCTAGTATTTTCAAGGGTTTTAGAGATGGGGCCTCATGTATCTCAGGCTGGCCGTGAAATTGGTATGTAGCGGAGGACAGCCCTGAGCTCTGAGCTTTTTTTTTACTTTAATCTCCTGAGTGCTGGAATTAGAATCATAAATGACCACGCCCAGCTCATGCCTTTTAGTTCTCAGGTAACACATCTGACTCATGATATACACATTGACTATAACATAACTTCATACAAATGTTGCCTCATCCACACAGAGGAGCACAGCACCATATGCTCAGACTGAAAGGGAGCAAATAGGAACACAAGCAAGAAGGCTGGTCTGGGCGCAGAAACTTTTATAAAGGTATTAAATGAACTAGTTGATGCCAAACTTTTCAGAAACTGCTGTTAGTTTATTTGTTCGTTTGTCTTTTAATATACTCGGATGCCTTAAATATGGCATTTTTAAAGACACACTGAAGTATGGATTGTTGTTGTTGGTGGTGGTTTGTTTTTTACGAACTCACAGTTCTGTCTGCTTCCAGTCTTGCTGCAAACTATTTTAGAAAACCACTTTCGGGTCTACTGAAGCTTCTATTTCCTTCTCTTTAGCACTCCTTTCCTTAAGCGTGTGTTTTGCCTATCACGACTGTGCATGCACACATGCATGGCACAGATGCAGAGATTAGAGCACATCCTTTTGAGGGTCAGCTCTCTCTTCATCCCACAGTGGTTTCCAGGCACCTGCTTCAGGCTGTTAGCTTTGCTGAACAGGGAGATCGACCTGTGGAGTCATTTCACATGCCTTCCGACTTATATGTAGCATGATCACCCAGCTTTAAAATGCATGTGACTCCATGTGAAAAGACTGACATTTCATAACCTTTTTTTTTAACATGGATGGAAAAAAGCCAAGTTTAACATACCCGCTGACCACAAGGCTCCTGAAAGACACTTTTTATCTATTATATTAGCAGATAACATCCCAAACCTAATTATGTATGACTAGCATCTACTTTTCCTTGTGACCTCCCTTTTCTCTTTACTCTAATTATCCCTTCCTTGTTCCTAGTCTTCTGTGAAGTTAATGGAAATTCTGAACTTCATGATGCAGATTGGGATGGGAAGCAAACATCTGTCTGCATCTGCCATGTTGGCAACGCATCCCAGAAACCTGCTACTAAAATGTCTATTTTCTTCCAAAAGTCAGCAGGATCCAGGTGTTCTGAAACTTAAACTTTTGTGACAGCAGAAGAAGGGAGTTATAAAAATATTGAAAATGATTTTTGAGTTGACAGGACCACTGGTTGAATTATCTGTGTAGATCCAACCAGACTGGCTCCATTTCTTAAGCAGCTTTGAATTAAATTTGAACCCATCAGTAATTCATTCAACCCACGTTTCTCACAGTAGCATACTGTAATCTATTTGATAAAAACAGTACATCAGAATACAGCATCATGGCCTTTTGTGTGATTGTGCTAACATAGAATCCAAATAATGGTTTCTTAGGTAATAAATATGCACTCATTCACTAATCAGACATATCTATAATCCTATTAAATAAGGTATTATTGCCTACAACCTTATTTTTCATTAAACATGCCACATCTGGCATTTGTCGACAAGCACCATAATTAATGATGTGAAAGTTATCTGCATGATGGCATTTGAACAGTGGGAACAATCAGTGAGCATGGTCAGAACGTTCCAGCTTCTAATAATACCCCCGTGTTTACTGCTCCAGCTTCAGCACCTGGGCAGCAGGGGTAACATGGAAAGGAAACACTATTTCTGTTCAGCTGAATGAACACAAATCTGTGGGTTAAATGAAGGCAGTTGGAATTGTAGGTGGAGAATCACTGAACTTTTCAAAGAAAATGAATAGTGTTGCCTTCTAAGCAAGTTTGATCATTTAGTTGAGACCATTATAGCATCCCTCATTAGTGTAGAGAGTTCTCCTGGCTGGCCTGGAGTCCTGCGGGACGCTCCCGGACAGCTTTTTCCTACATCGTAATACACCTCTACATTACCATCTTCAAAGCTTTCAAATGACTTATTTAGTTATAACAGACTGTATTAGTTGACATTAAAACCAACTACCAGATACACTCATGTGGGATCATTTGAAAGTTTCTGAATAACGGCAGTAACTAAGTTATGGTCTATTCAGTGGTTCCCTAAATAAATGTAGCTGACAGACATCCAACATGCTGCTGGTAGAAGGGTATTTGGTTGAGTTAGCTCTTTGGTTTTTGTATTATTGTTATTGATTTATTTGTTTCCATTTTGAGAGAGAGAGAATTAGCTAGTTGGTTAGCTGGCTAGTTTGTTTATAGTGTTTGTATGTTTATACACATATTTTATGTGTATACTTATGTGACTGTGCATATGGAGGTACAATGTGTACTTTCTTGGTCTGTTAGTCAAAGCCAGAGCTTGTCCAGTATGTCAATCAGTAGCCAGCTTACTCCGGTGAACCCCTGACTCAGCCTTAGGATGCTGGCATTACAGGTAAATTTCCATACCCTGGCTTTCATGTGAGTATTGGAGATCTGAATTCAGTTCTCATGTTTGTTCAGCAAGAGCTTAACCACTGAGCCATCTCCCTAGCCCTCACGGTAGCACTTTGGACTTCTCCATACTCAGTATTTTGCAGAGACCTCTCTAGCTGGCTTGCTAAAGGCCTCTTCTATAATATCATCAATATGAAGAACACAGTTTTCAGGGGAACACAACATCTTTTATTTAGTGTTTTGTACTTAAGAAGTGCTCAGTGAGTTTTGCATATACATAGATACATTGATAGTCTTGTCATCCAAGAAGTCTGATCTATGTGTTATGCAAAACAAAGGAATGGCAGACACAATAGAGAGATGGAGTGTAAAACTGAACCTCCTCATCCTTGCTGGTAAAATGCACATTCTACTCTAGGGACAGGGGAAGGGGTTGAGAACATAGCTTAGTGGCAGATTGTTTGACCCATGCTTTAGGTCCCAGGTTTGAGCCCCAGCAGAACAAAACAAAAGTAAACCTAGCTTTGGGACTGGAGAGGTAGCTCAGCACTTGACAGAGTGTGATGCATTTGCAGAGGACCTGCGTTTATCCCCCAGGACCCATGTTGGTAGCCCACAACCAACCGTGATGCCTGCTCCAGTGGATCTGACTCCTTTGGACCTCCACAGGCAACTACCTTCATGTGCACATACATAGACACATACACAGACATGTACAAATTTACACAGGATTAAAAATACATCTTATGAAGAGGAATTAACAGTTTTATCGCTGATCCATGCGTACCAATGGTCATTGCTACATTATTCATAGTGACTAAGATAGGGACTTACCCTAGGTCCCCATTGAAAAACAAACGGTTAAGGGAAGTTAATATTTTTTCTTGGCATAGTGGAGTATTATTTATCCATCAGGAAGAATACATCTTTTTATAATTTGGAGGAAGATGGATGGAAGTGAAATCATTGTATTAAGTGGAATAAAGCTGACGAGATACACAAATATCACATTTATTTCTCCCGTATGTTGGATATAGGTATTTTGGAAATAGGAATGTAGAGTATTTGAGAAGAAAAATGGGGTCAGAGTGAGTGAGTGTGGAGATAAGAGGGGAACATGATGAAAGGAGAAGTATGAAGGGTGGAAGTATCACAAGAAAACCCGTTATCGTTACCATTAACATATGCTAAGAAAAATCTCAGCTGGCCGGACACACTCACCCTCTTCAGGGACTCAGAGCAGAAAACAGAATTCAGCAGGCAGGTGACACCTCTGCAGTAAAGTCCTTGTTCCCAATTTGCTATTTTTATAAACTGTTTCTTCTGTTCTTCTGCAGTGTGATGGGCGTCGGGTGGTCCTTAAATAAACCTTTCCGCAGGAAATGCAGGGTGATTATAATTGTTCCATGTAGCATTCCTGTGCTATTACATCTTCCTACTCTGGTTTGTAGTTCCTGCCAATTCCTTATCAAGCACTGCTGCTCTTACACATTCTCATCCTTTAAGACCACTTTTTTTTTTTTTTTTTTTTTTAAATAGAATGATCTGGTAAGTACTTGACAGAGTCGTGCAGCCATGGAGTGAATCTTCTCCTTAGGCACTGTCCTCAGTGTGTCTGGTCATTATGGAGCCTCAGTAAACTCCTTCCATTCAGGGGGTCATGACAGCACCCTTTCCAATGGAGTCTCTTCCCTGGAGGAGGTTTCTGAGTAGGGTGGTGATGTTTATACATCATCCCGGTTCTGTGGCGGATGCTGTGCTCCTTGATCAGCAGAGCATAGGGAACACCCCGTGATGGTCACTTCAATGAAGAAACCACAGTGATGTGTGCACAGAACAATGGAACCACCTCTGCTCAGATCCTCACTTATATGGTTAAGCCACAGCCACATCTCTCCGATGCCATACGAAGTGGCGTTTAGGGGAGGATACCTTTCCTCTGGCCGTTAGCAGAAGTTCCTCCTGAGGGTACTGGCTTGTTGACGTGCAGTAGACCAGTTTCATCCGTGACATCCCCATGACTCTGACTTCAGGTGAAGTTGCTTGTCCTACAACTGTCAGATTCTTGCGAATACCCCACCACATTCTGAGCTTTCCCCTCCTGAATCCTGGCACTTTGCAGAGTTTAAAGGTCACCCTACCACAACCGCAGAAATCATGGACAGTCCACTGGCTCTCAACTCTGCTTTCTTTCCATTCATAAAGCTAAGAAAATCTGTGGATTAAAATTAGACTCCAAATATCTATTACTCTTCAGGCATCTAGATAAGCAGAAACCATATCAGGAGCCTCTCCCAGCCCCCACATAATCCCACAAGCCAGCAGCTGGCAACCATGCTGATATTTCTGTTTCATAGGCCCACAATGTGCGCGCTATCTCTGTGCAGAATGGCGGATGCAGGTACATAGCTAGCCGTGGCTGCTCCTTCTTGTTTCTTAGCCTCTGCTTTCTACCTTCTTCCCCTGACTGCCCTGTCCTTCACGCATGGAGATTCTTCTCATCTCTAACTCCTCTTGTACAACCTCTCTGTGGTTGACAAATCTCTCTGAGATTTAGCACAAAGCAAGTATAGTTGTATGTCGTTTTAAAGGGTCAGGAAAGGGCCCACTCAAGGTATTAGGCAGGAGAACAACCAGGTGTTTGGTGGTACACAGGGTTGGGCCTGTGTGTCAGTGTTTGGCAAGCAAATGGTTGTAGTGAAAGCAAATATATGTTTCAGAGGTGGCAAGGACTTCCTCTAGGTTTTTCCATTGAGAGACCCTATGAAGAACAAAACAGGGACAGAAACAGACTTCTTTGCTCTAGTTGACACTTTACTCACAATATACCGGGCAATAAAAGCAACCAGTAGTTGCCTGATTTCACATATAAAGGAACCAAACACACTTATGGGAAGGAAGTGATCAGTATATCACCTGGTTAAGGAGCATGAGGCTCGGGCAATTGCAAATGATTGCTTGACAACTGTGAATTCTGACTGCCTGGTTTTCCTTTCTGTTTCAGATACTCAGCACTTCTTTGACACTAGTCTGTCACCACACACATCATATTCATATTCTATAGAGACCTCCAGTGTGCATGGTTCAACAAGGAGCAGGTCCGTCACGTATAAGACGAAGCCAGAGGTCTCTGAAGGATACTTGAACCTGACTCATGTCGTTCCTGTTGGCTCTGACTCTGTGACTCTTACCTGGACTGAATTCCCCAACAACTCTGGACCTATAGAGGAGTATATTTTATCTTGCATTCCTGTGGACAGCACCGAGCCTTGTGACTCCTATGAAGGTCTGGAAACCTCAGCTACCATCCGGAATCTGGTTCCATTCACGCAGTACCGTTTCTCTGTCCAGGGATGTACTAGCGTGCGCTGCTCACAGAGCCTGCCCATTGTAGTAACCACAGCCCAGGCACCCCCCCAGAGGCTGAGGCCACCCAAAGTGAGGAAAATCAGTTCCACAGAACTCCACATAGCATGGTCTCCACCAGTGGAGCCAAATGGTAAGAATTCAAAGCTTAGACTTCACTTTCTTTTAGAAGACCAAGACAGTAGAAATGAAGAGCTATGTCGTGAGAGTGGCAGCTCTGTCTCCTTACATGAATGTAAGGCATTTGCTTGAGAGATGATTTCTGATGATATAAAATATTATTCCTTCTGGAGGGTGGAAGAGGGTATTTCATCTAATTTAAGAACAAATTCCATTTAATTAAATTGCTTTCTTAAAAAGCTAATATTATCTTTGCTCCTAATGACATCTGCCACAACACGGATGATGTTTATAATTGGATGCTCGCTTATGAAAATGCATTATATTTGACTGAGTCACAAGTTAGGGCACCCCTAAGCTACAAATGTTCTCTTTCAAGTAGGAAAAAAATATAAAATAACACAAAAAATTGTATGTAGGCTAGTTGATTCCATTAAGTTAATTTTTGTGTTCTTAAAATTGGACCTTGGGGTTCATAGGCCAGACACACAGACCTAGGTTTTTAGTAATTTATATTATGCACATATTGTGGCTTCGCATCAAACTGTTATCGTTCTTGGTAAAGACTGGACACAACTTAGTTATACATATTTATGCAAAGATGGCTTGTGTCAAATAGGTAATTAAATCACAAAATTTCAAAATATGCAAACTGAAAGTAGAATATTCAGGTAGCCTAAAAAATTTGAGCATCTGTAGCAGAAATTATGAATGGCCATCCTGAAAACATTGTATTCACATATGATAAATTATGCCTGTTTTGTATTTACACTTCTTTTGATTTGTTTCCCACAAAAATGTGGTTGGTTTTCATGATATTTTTTTAGTCATTTGAGTTGTTTTTCTACATACCTGACTTTTAGATCACTAAACTTATGCTTCTAGATTACTAAAAGGAATCAACAGGTAATAGTGAGAACACTGAAAAAAGAGCAACCCTGAATGCAGGTCCCTGGAGAGCCCCTTTGACTTGGTCTCTTTAATTCACTGTCTCTTTTCTAGGTATAATTGTAAGATATGAATTATACATGAAGAGATGGTTGTCTACCGAAGAAAGTCTAGTGTTTGAGAGAAGTGAATGGGTCAGTCCTCATCCAGCTTCAAAGGCAGCCAGCAAGAGTGAGAACACACTTCCGCCTCCCCAAGTCAGCACCTCCGTCTCTGGCTTGGAGCCACACACTGAGTATGCATTTAGAGTCTTGGCTGTGAATATAGCTGGCACCGTGTCATCTGCCTGGGTCTCAGAAAGAACAGGAGAATCAGGTAAAGACCAGTGCTTTGGATTCTCATTTGAAAACCCCTCAATGAGTTTTTTCTGGTTCCTCAATTCAATTCCATTGATCCACCTATCAGTTTCTATGCCAGTACTATCCAGCTTTTATTACTGTGGTTCTATAGTACATCTTGAGATTAGGGATGGAGATTACCCCTTAGAAGATCTTTTATTGTAGAGGAGGGAGGGAGGGACTGAGAGGAGTTGAGGGAGGGGGCTTCAATCAGGATATATAATGACTAAATTGTAAAAATTAAAAACTTAAAAAGCAGTCATGGAGAACACATGGAAAAATGCATGTGGTTATATACTAATAAAACCTTATTTGAAAAAAAAAAAAAAGAAAACCCTTCCCCCTCAATGAAAGTGCTGCCTGAAAATTAAGATCAAAGGTGATATTTGAGAGAAAAAAAAACAGATGATTTGGCTATTAATACATTTGTTGGAGAAAAGAAGTTAATTGTAGCTCTAGTCTTTGGGGGAATCCTTCTCCCAAGTAGCAGTTGACTCATGTGTCAGGTGAGTAGACAAGTAACTTAATCCAGCTTTGTATTCATGATGGTTTACCAGTGGTAAGAGAGATTTTTCAATTTATAATTAAATTATAGTTTTATAATTACTTGTTCTTTTTCTCTCTTCAAAACAAACATTGATATATTTATGTAATATTATGTAACAGAGTTTACATAATGACATCAATTAATACATCCAAAAGTCTAACCCCTAAGTGTGCTTCGAAACAATCAGAATTACAGTGTGTGAGGAGAACCAAAGTTTGTTTTTCCATTGTATATTATCAAGGCAACTGATTTATTTTTAATTTTCCATCTTTATTCCTCACATGAGATGTACTTCAAATTTCATGAGCATCAAAGAAAAAAGTATACGTATGTACATACATACAGACAGACATATATGTGTATATATATGTATATGTATGTATGTATATGTATACATACATATACATACATATACATAACCTGCCCTAAATTTAACAAGTTGAAACTCCGAAGGTTGAGTTGCTTGGGTGGGTGGCCGGGGCCTCATTGAATGAATAAAATATGTATTGTCTGAGAATTTCCCAAAGACTATCTGACATCTTAGACAAGCTACAGGGCCAAGAGAACAGAAGTGCTGAGTTATGTATTTCTGAAAGCAAAAATCCAACATCTGAATTAGATCTAGCAGGTGAAATAGCATCCAATGAGCCTCATAATCTTAGGGATCACTAGGAAAGGGAAGTGCAACGAGGCCCTTTGACAGCACATCTTTGTTAGCACATTTAAATTCTATACAAAGATGTCAAGGATAGGGGGAACAAAGGGTGTGGTGTCTGTGTGCCCTGAACGTTTCAGGAAGGACGGACCAAAAGCTACGAGTGTCTTTGGGATCATTTAGTCCATTTTAGAAGTACCTTCTATGTAAATAACTTCCCCCAGCCTCAGCAGTTTGGCTTAGTGAAATATGGCTTTCCATGAGACACCCAGTATGTCACCATGCATCTTCAGCTTTGCGGACTAAAGACAAGTTCTTTTTCTGTACAATTCAAATTTCTCATCAAATTACTCACTACATATTTACATGAATACAGAGATATTTCTATCAGAGTTTGCCATTGTGTGTATGTGACAAAGAGAGACAGAGACAGACAGAGAGAAACAGAGACAGATAGATATAGAAAGACAGAGAAACAGATAGTGAGACAGAGATATGGATGCAGAGAGAAAGAAGTGGAAGAGGAGGAGGAAGATGAGAGAGAGAGAAAGCACATGTTGTGTACTTGCAGAGTCTAGAGGAAGCCTTTGGGTATCCTGCTCTATCACTCCCTACCTTTCTCCCTTCGAAGAGGGCCTCTCACTGAACCTGGAGCTGAGCTGGTGGCTAGCAGCCCTCAGCAAGCAGCCCATATCTGCCCCGCGTGGCATGAGGGCTTCAGATGCATTTGAGGTCATATCCGGTTTTCTGTGCTTAGTAAAATCTGAACTCAGGTTCTCATGCTGTGTATCAAGTGCTCTTACTCACACAGCCATGTCTTCATAACCTTTCTTCATAACCATTTCTTCATGACCTTTCTAAATTTTATTTTGTAAATGAAAACTACATTACCTGATAATATTAAAATAGGTAATATCCTTGTAGATGACAGTTTAAGAGTGAATATTTCATATATATACCTGTATTTTTTTAAGTTTTGAAAATAAAAATATTTTACCAAGAATAGGGTTTTCAGAAACTAGAATGGTCAAACCTGAAATTGTGTATGGAAAAACTTCATGCTTTTGATGTTCTTTTTGTCTTTGGTAGCACCTGTGTTCATGTCTCCTCCTTCAGTCTCTCCACTCTCATCGCACTCACTCCATGTCTCCTGGGAGAAGCCAGCAGAACACTTTTCAAGAGGAGAAATTATAGGGTACAACATCAGCATGGTTTCTGAACATTCTCCCCAACAAGATGTTCCAGTAATATGTTCAAAGGTATTTTTACTTTCAACTCATTTCCTTTCTGAATTAAATTCTGTCTCCATTTGATGTTGTCTGAATTTATAGAAATCTGTAGCAGAATCCCTCTCCAATGTGTTCATCAGATGGGTCATCAACATTAAATATCAGATGTTCAAGGTCCTCTGGGTATATATGCTTATCACTTATTTTTCTAATGTGCCCAACTAAAGTAGTTGTAATTTTATTTCATGAGACCTGCTGTTTCCACTTAGTCTTAAATATTTTTCAAGAAGTCTTTTCAGCAGCTATGCACTATGTAAGATAATCTGAAAATATTATTTGAACACATAATAGTGCATTTAGGCAGTCCACAATCTGTCAGTATTTATACTGTATTCATTTGGATGTCAAAATGACATTGACAAGACCATCTCATATGCACACTTTGTATATGTCTTCATTTCTTTGGGAAAAGTCATGAAGCACCAAATTTATTACAACATTACAGAAATCATGCCAGGGGTGGGAGCTGCAAATTTGGCCCATTTGTGGTAAAGTGCTTGCCTAGCATGTATTAAGCCTTAGGGTTGATTTCTAGTTCTGCAGAAAATGAGGCATCTGGTAGCCCAGGTCTGTAGTCCAAGTATTTGAAAAGGAAAGGCAGTAAGCTGGGACGTGCAAGGCCACCCTCTACTACCTAGTGAGGTTAAGGCCAGCTTAGGCTACATGAGGCACTGTGTAGATATAATTATATGAATGCTATGAACACTATGAGTTTGCTAAGGCTTTGGATGTGCGGTCATATCGTATCTCTAATAGTGTCTATTCCAGTGATGAGAATACAGCGTCAACAGTTAACAAATGCCAAGATCTAGGTCAATGGCTATGAAAGGTTCCAGAAAATGAGGCTTTTGTTCTCCCCAGTTTAAAGACAAAGTGCTTTACCCTCCTAGCCTGCTTTCTAGGCATGCCAGTGTACAAGGATAGAGGCCAAGGGTGTCAACCACACATAGCATCTCATGGTCAGGCTGTTCACTTCTACTTCTGAGGGACTGGGTCTTTGATGGACACTCATGTAAGCTAAAAAGATCTCAGTGCTTTTGTCCAGTCTGGGTCCTTTGTTTCCCAGACTTCCAAAACTCTGACCTTATCTTGTTTCATGTCCATGACCAGAGTGACCAAGTTCTGTCACACAGTCCCCACTTGGTTTCCCTTGAGATACTTCTCATCCCCATACAGTAAGTGAGCAAGCACAATGTCTGAGGTCTGTCCTCTGAGAATATTTGTCTCCGCTGCTGTTTCTGAGAACCACCATGGCTGGTCAGCAGCCACCACCCAGCTTACCCTTGCAGCCTTTTTCTAAGACAACCCACCTGTGTAGAGCTCTGGTGTTCTCCTTGTTTATACTGTACAAAGAACTCCCATGGTCTGCATAAGACTCCCTGGGCTGTACTCAAATCTTAAATTCCCATTTTCACCATAAGATGCATTTCATTGAGTCCATCTGACCTTAAGACTTGACATATCTGAGAAAAAAAAAAAAAAGGCAGCCAGCGAGAAGTAACTCCAACTACACGGCATGTGACATTCTGCAGGATGCTGTCTTGTGATGAAAGCCCAGGAGCTGGCTGAGAGTGTTTAGTGAATAGTTCTAGGTATCTAGAATTTCCATCACTTTATGTGCCTTTGTCCTGTATGATGTCTACCTTGTGGTTCTCTTTTCATAAACATTTCACACTATTTTCCCAGTGTTCCAGAGTCTTGGGATCTATTAGGTTTAATGTCCTAAACAGTTCGTCAGCCAGCACCACAGCATGAGTATGGGGCTGAGCTACTTCCTACTCCAAGACCAGTCAAGTAGCAGAATTTCATGTCGGCAGGCTGGTCAGAATAGTACCCTAATGATGACTATTCCCCTTCAGATCAGAGTTTTGCTCACCAGACACTGAGCTTCTCACTGAAGGGTGAAGATAAAACCATTTTAAGGACGCAAGATATAGTCACTTTTCTTCTACTCTGGACTGGATGGATGTCCTAGATGTCACAGAAAACATGGCCTCCTAAAACCCAGCTGACGCTTCAAATCCCTTAATCTTTCTGCAGTTAATCTCCTCCTCTCTGGAACACACATCTGACTAAGACCTCCATACACTCAGTTCCTGCTTATCTGATCCACTTAACATGATTTTATTGACACGGAGAACAATAGTTTCAAGAAGGATTGTATAGTTTGTATTAAATTGATGATGACCCTAAGATTGTGTTCCTTCAGGGCACAGATGACATTGGCAATAGTCATCTGATTATGTAGCCCTAAAACTTAATCCTGTCCCAAAAGTTGTCTTAATAGCTGCTTAATCCACTACTAACGTAAATTCAAAAACTGTACCACTATAGCAAAGTTGTAGGCTGTGGAGAGTCCACCTTCCTTTGTCCTCACTGTCAGCCAGCTCTGGTGGTCCAGCTCCACATGTCACTCTGATACTATGATATTTCCCCCCTATGAATCTAATTCCTGTCATAGTTATGTTTTCCCAGAGGATACCAGCCATGGTAGAAGACTTGATAATAGGGATTACCGGGAGTGTACGCAGAAACAACATACAGAAAAATAAGGGGATCTTGTGGAGTTCCCATCCTCTCCAAATCTTACTATTCCCCACTTCTTACATAAGATTCCATGCACTCTGCCCAACAGTTGGCCATGAGTCTCAGCATCTGCTTTGATAGTCTGCAGTGAAGAAGGGGGAGGGAGAGTGGGACCAGGAGGGGTGGAGGGAGGGGCTTATGGGGGGATACAAAGTGAATAAAGTGTAATTAATTAAAAAATGTAAAAAAAAACAACAATAAAAAGGGGATCTATTACTGGGGAGAATAAAAATCTGAGATATAACACCACAGTGAAAAGGTCTCAGCTTATACCTGAGACAGTTCTAGAACCAGAATAACCTCTGTAGTTGCCACAAACAGGGCAAAAATTCCAGGTTCTTTAAGTTCTACACTATTTGTTTCCTAACACTACCATAAAGATCACCATAAATTTAGTGGGTTATGATGGCATACATTGATTCTCTGAAGTTCCAGAGGTCAAAAAATTAAAATCCAGCTGCTTGGAGAGCCGCGCTCCTCCAATGTAGCCTAGAGGACTTCTCCAGCTTCCTCCAGACACTTGGTGACAGCCCTTGCTTTGTGCCTCCATATTTCCCATTTCTGTGTCATCAGTTTGCTTTACCTCTACTTCCTCCGTCTGTCTGTGGGTATTAAAGCTAGCCCTAAACACAAGATACATTACCTCACTACCTCCACAAATACTTCATTTCAAAAGGTAAAATTCTCAGAATCTGGGGAAATATGTTAATATATTTTCCCTTTTATGAAATGTTTTAGTGGACAGATAAACACATACAACACAGAAATATATTTTCTGGCTCAATAGACAAAGAGTCAGAAATAAACTGAGTAGTCTTTATTAACCTTTCTTATCCATTTATGTGTGTGACTTTCCCCACTATCTCTCAATAAAAACATCTAGAGGGTTCCCCAATAATGGGAACAGGGACCTGTTTCTGACATGAATTCATAGGCTGGCTCTTTGATCATCTCCACCTGAGTGGGGAGCAGCCTTACAACTCCACAGAGGAAGGCAATGCAGCCAGTCCTGGTGAGACCTGATAGACTAGGGTCAGATGGAAAAGGAGGAGGACCTCCCCTATCAGTGGACTGGAGGAGGGGCATAGGAGAAGAAGAGGGAGGGAGAGTGGGTTTGGGAGGGGTTGGGGGAAGGGGCTACAGCTGAGATACAAAGTGAATAAACTGTAATTAATAAAAATTAAAAAAACAACTAGTATAATAACATGATTTTAAGTTTAGACAGCTTACTGTAAAAATCAACTATAGTATTGTCACTTAGGGAAATTTATAAATAGTACTGGTTTTGGGTTTTGATCCTTATATTCCATGTTTATCACTGGTGTTTAGACTCAGTGAATTTTACCTATTCTTTTATTCTTAGGTTCATATAATTTTGTAGTCAATCCCTAGGTAAATATTCCTAGTATATTGTGTTGTACTCTGTAGGGAAAATACGTAAGAACTATTTGAAATGTTACTATACTCTGTGAGGATCTTAAGCTGCATGCATTTGTGAAGTATCATTTCCCATGAGAGTCAAGCCTAAAGACTATGTCAGTGATGACATAACATCTTGATAAAATCGAGGATCATGGTGGACACAAGCCATGGGGATGTCACTGATGTGCTTCAGCAGTCTTTTTTTGTAACCTTTCATAGTTACAAAGATTCCAGCTTAATGAAAACTGTGTAGTATAGCAAATACAGCCACGCCATACTCATTGTTATAATCTCCAAGTCTTGTACCATACACAGCTCTGCGTCCTTCGGTTCTACGGCCTTGGCAATGCCACTGACTTACATTGGCAGTACCACAAACATTTGGCTCCTTGCCTTGGGGTGTTAAATAGCCATGGTATCCCTGGGTAGTATAAACATTCAGCTCTTACAATTGTAAAGGGACAAAATCACATATGCAGTCTGGTCCATGGTTGACCAAACCATGAGAACATAATCCATGAGTCCACGGCAGTAGCCCTAAGAAAAATAATTCCATATTCATGATCCTGCCTCTGTGACATTTCCCTCTTAAGTATAATTTGTACCCACAGTCTAAGGAAGCATTTTTGGTTGCTTATGATTGGTTCTAATCATGATAGGATGAATTCTGGGTTGCCTCTTTAACTGTGTGTTTATGGTGATCCTCCCAATCTCCTTTGCTTAAGCCTTTTGCTTTTATTTGAAAATGTATGATGATGACATTTCAAAAAAAAAATGCAACTATCAGTCTAGTTGTATGTGTTTATTTGGATAAGAAAGGTAAGTGAGATTTGACCTAAGTTGATATTCACTCAACATTATTCTTTTTTCCATTACTACTGTGGATTTTTAGAGCAAATGACAGGATGATTTATCCCCATGTCATTGTCCTATGTTCTGCCACCAAGTAGCATGTGGCATCCCCACCCTGCGTTATTATTGGCTTTGTGTGGACTTTGTCATGGTAACAACATCAATGTTGCCATCTTTATCTCTACCATTGGTGACAATAACCATACATCCATGCTGCTTTATGAGGCCATAACTCCGTTTTCTCATTTATCCACTCAGGAACTGCATTATTACCTCATAAAACAGTGTGATTGTACAATTATCAATTAAACCTCAGCTTGTTGAGACTTTTTTTTGGGGGGGGATCTCTTTCCCTAAAGGACCTGGCAATGATTCCCTCCATTTGAATGTGTGGATTTTTTAATACTAAAATTATATGTTGTACATTGATTATTATCTGATTACTATTATTGTTATTTTTGCCTTGAAGCTCCTGCATTCTGCTAAGCCCCAAGACCTGTCTTATGTTGTAAGGGGACTCAAGCCTTACAGGATCTACACCTTCACTGTCTCCCTCTGCAATTCAGTGGGATGTGTGACCAGTGCTTTGGGAGCAGGACAAACTCTTGCAGCGGGTAAGTATGTTCTAATGAATTTGAAGAAATGTTTTCATATTGAAAGTAAATACAGGAATTATGCATTTTGGACTTCATATGTATCTTTTCTATTCTGTGTTGCTCCCTCGGCAGTCCTGAACGCAGTTTATCTTGAGAGTTTTGAAACACAGCAAGGCATGGAGCCAAGGGTTATGAACACAGCAGAAGAGTCCCAAATTAGATATGGAATGAGATGGGCTCCTGTGCTCAGTCTCCAACTTGAACCACAAATATATCCTGGTAGTAGTGAGATGCAGTAGGAGAGATACCATGAGGTCATAGGACATTTCTTCCTTCAATCTTAGCTTCTCAGGGTTCTTCTGCTCCTCTACCATGAGGATATCCAGTGATTTCTAGGTTACGCTGACATTATAGTTTTCATCTCTTTGATAGGCACTTGCTTACCTATTATTTATATTTAATAAGAATCTCCAAGTTTGTACAATGTAATAGGAAACTTGTCACATCTTAGAATGTGGTTTGTATCATTTTTGTTTGCTTTACTGAAAACCAACTAGATTTATACAAAGTTGAATACATATATCACTACCATGTACATATTTCACTAACAGCATTTAGAATGTTTTCAATTGTCAGTGTTCCTGTCAGCTACTCTGCAAGGCTTAGAATCTCCTTATGGATGTGTCTACATGTAGAGAGGTTATGGGATTCCCAGATGAATTATAGGAATTTTATAAACACATATTTAATTATCACCCTACTATCTGCAGGCCTAATTTTATTGTTCCCATTCCCAGTTCTGGGGAAAATAGTTCCGTTCAAATCATGTCACACAATTACTTTTGGTTGTTCCAATTTTCAATTGATGTGCGGGAAATCCAGATTCTATGACAGTGTGGCTTATTGCCTCTGTGACTGAACTCTTTGTGAGTCGAGGTGTTTAATCATCTGTATTTCAGATGTGTAAGTACATTCAAGGAGTTCCTGGTATATTAAACCATGTGGGGTCCCTACTTTTCCTATGAGCCTATTTATTTTCATGAATGCTATGATTCAGCGGTAATAACTGAATAGGAGACTTAGGTCGCTCGGTTGTCAGCAGACGTTTAGGCCGATGGTTGCCCTCTGGGGGAGTGTAGCATGAGGAGTCTAGCACCGAAGCTGTGCAGAGCCGAGACCGCAGCCTCTCAAGCGGCAAAGCAGTGCAAGGTAATCCAGGGCCGCTGGAAACCCAGTGTCACTGCACTCATAGGAACCTCTTGTGTTTGTCCAAACTACACTCAATACCTTTAGTCTAAGGAAACTCTCACGTCTCGGACAAAGCAACCTCTTTAGAGCCATCTCTGAGAAGGCGACTTCTACTTTTCATTTGACTTATGCTTCTTTATGTATTCATTGCGTATATACATGCCTGTGCAACTGCATGCACACACAGCGCATGAGTGGGAGTCAGAGAAAAACTTGCACATCAATTTCTCTTTCCACCATATGGGACTACAGCTTGAACTCAGGCCTTTGGTGGAATGTACCCATAACTGCTGACCTGTCTCCCCAGCCCTGAAAACGTGAGTTATTAAGTGGGCTGGAGTTATCTACCTCCGGCTTCTATTCAGCCGTCTTCTCTTGGAGCTGTTGTCCGCATAACTCGTGTTCCTTCTTATGACATCACTGTTTATCACATCTCTAAGGACATTACATCTGCAGCAGTATTGTCCCTCCCTGCCACAGTGCACCATCTGCACCTCACGGGAGGAAGAGCCTAGTGCTGAGCGGTGCGGTGCACTTTCTGAATGTGTCAGCCCATGTTCCGATAGACACAGCAGATGAAAAGCATCTGGAGTGAGACATGCCTACCTTGGGGACTAGAGAGATCCTGGAGACTAGAGTGCAAAAAGGAAGCGCCTCTCTTGACGTCATTGATAGCATCCCAAAGATCTTGTCTTGTGGCTTGAAGCACTGAGTTTCCACTATACAGGAAGCCCAACCTAGTGTTTTCCACAGCTCCTTCTCAGTCACTAGTGAGTATGTTCCGGGCCACAGGAATGACTGTGAAAACAAGGGAACAAGGCCTCTGAAAGGCCAAAAAATATTTTAAAAAGTATTCGGCCTCCTCATCCTTATTCTTCTTTGTTTCGCTTTATCTATCTATCTATCTATCTATCTATCTATCTATCTATCTATCTATCTACCTACCTACCTACCTATCTATCTATTTATTTTGAGATCCAAGCTTTATTGAGATTTACTAAATAGATAAGATTGACCTCAGACTTGTGGCATCCTTCCTGCCTCTACAGAAAATGCAAACTTGTGCCAGTATGTACTGTTGTTCCCATCCCTAACCATCAAAAAAATGCAAAATAAAACTGTTCAGTGACCCTGTCTCTCTACTTTTTCCCCCTGGGTTTTTTGAGTCAGGGTCTTTCTAAATAGCCCTGGCTGTCCTGGAACTCGCTGTGTAGTCCAGACTGACCTCCAGGTCACAAATTCACCTACCTATGTATGGCTCCTGAGTTCCAGGATTAAATATGTAGACCGCTGAGCCCAGCTCTCTCTGCCTTTTTGTCATAGAGAAATAGAACCTTGAAATATCTCATAATCTCTAAAAGCTACACAGATTTCAGATGTGAATGAATATTAAGCCTTTATACTCTGTTTTTCTTTATTTTATTGTTTTTTTTTCCCTAGATAGAATCTCGTTCTTTAGTTTGGGATGAACTCAGATTTATGATTCTCCTGCCTCCCAAATAAAAGCAAGAATAATCCATATTCATTCTGTGGGATGATGAGCAATTGTTTTCTTTTTGGTGATTATTTCTAATTTGTAAATATATTTAAATGGAAAAAATGAATCAAAATTCAAGGCTTTGAATTTGGGTTTTGCCATTTACTAGCTAAGTTTGCTATTTTTGCACAACTGTGATCAAAACACCTGATATAATGATGTAAAGACACAAAGGTGTATTCGGTGTCAGTGTTAGTGGTTTCAGCCCATGCTTGTTTGGCCCCGTGTGCTAGGACAGAACATGTTGGCCATGGGAATGTTCAAAGGGAGAGGCTATTCACATCATGGTAGACAGGAGGCAACGTGTGAGGAAGGACCAAGGGAAACTTCTGGTCAACCATCAAAGGCACACTCCCTCATCTGTAAGCTTCTAGAAGCTTCCAGAGCAGCATGTAGCAGCGGAAGCTGAGATTTCAGCACATGTGCCGATGGTGGACTTTTTGTGTTTAAACTGTAGCACTGTGAGCTGCGGGCTGTCAGCTGTGAGACCCTGTGTGATGTATGTTCTCTCCATTACTTAGCTTTTCAGTTCATGCATAAGAATAACATATTTTGTATGGTACTTCTAAAGTTCAAAAGATAATGTGTGTAGAAGGCACAAAGAAATATTAACCACAGCAAAATGACCATGAAATTATATTCTTCTTGCAATTGCCAGCTCATGAAACGTCTTTGTTAGCCAATGTCAGCACATACCTTGTCCTATACCATGTGCTGTAAGGGTCTTGGGTGACACCAGAGCGGGGCTTTGTCTTGTAGCTTCAGTCTCAACATCATCATAGCATTTACATAACAATGGAAATCCTCAAAATGAGGCTTATTGTGTAAACAAACTTAAGAAACTCTTAAAGTCTAAAGGATTTTTTTTTCCTTCTCTGAGAAGTAAATCATTCAGGACTATGATGTTCATTTAATATGTAATGGACCCAGGAGCTGAAGAAATGGCTCAGTGATTAAGAGAACACTTGCTGCTCTTCCAGAGGACCCAGGTTCAATTCCCAGCACACACATAGCAGCTCATAACCATCTGTACCTCCAGTTCCAGGAAATCCAATGCCCTCTTTGGCATCTATGGGCAATAACACACAAGTGGCACACAGACTTATATTTAGGCAAAACATCCATACATATAAAATAAGAAAATGAAGTCAAAATATTTGTAAAGCAAAATTAAAAAAAAAAATGTATCCAGATTACAAATTTCAAATGTATTGTTTGTAGTATAAAGTCACTAATGTGCTCCTGAGCACAACATTAATACAATATCTTGCAGACCCTCCAATGAGAAAGCAACCATTGAGTCCTCACCAGTCTGTGGCAATTGAAAGACAGTGCACATAGTGTTTAGATTAAGGAGTTAACATCTAATATACTGGCCTGAGGACATGGTGCTGGGACTCTGAGCTGAAAGAAGCCATAGGAATAGAGCAGAGGGTGAAGTATGGCTTTGGGTTCAGAGGTTAGGGCATCACTTCCCTGGATGCTGCTCTACATGGATTGGTTGACTGATAAAGATGTTTATATCTATCCACTGAGCATAGAAAATGTGCTAGTCCCTATGTTAGAGGTTGGCACTGCTTTAGATATTCCTATGATGAAATCTCTGGTTAAAGAAGACCTCTCTGGCATAGATTCTCAGAGACTATCCCAGTGGGGACTAAGGGACTTTGTCCAATGAGTAGAAGTGAAGACTGACAGATGAAATGGATAGTATTATAGTGAAACCGTCTATGGGTTCACAAGAGGGGAAAATCTGAAGATGACAGTAAATATTTGAGTAGACCAGAGTGTTTCTGTTACATGAAATGGGAAAGATGAACATACGGAGAAAACAAACCCATGTGTTTATGTTTGATTGGTTGGTGAAAACATATCCATGGCAGCTACTGGAAACAGAGCATACAAATCTGGTGCTTAAAATGTTGCTGATTTTATAATACTCTGTAGAGAGAGGGAGAGCTATGGTGCAAATGAATCAGTGAGGCAGAGAAGATGTGAGCTGAAGAAAAGTGTCTGAGTAGTGCATGCAGGAGGGGGAAAGAGTAACAGAGAAGTAAGGGAACAGGGATAAGAGCAGAGAGGGATTCCCAGCTGAAAAGTTCTAAAAGTGGCATGATACCATTAATGGCACATGCTCTCCAGAGGGTAAGAGCAGCATAAAGAGAGGGGAGTTCCCTGCAATGGTCCGAGGTGAAGCTGGGTGTAAAGGGCTGAACAGTAGACGATGGGTTAA